CCCCAAAACCCCAAAACCCCAAAACCCCTTCAGAAAATATAGAAGTGAATTTATTAGTAAATAACAATAAATCATTCATCAATAAATCAAAGCCATACCATTAATAGAGCAGATTAAATGCCTGGCAATTATGATTAATCATTACAAGTATTTATTTTCAATCTTATGAGTAATGTCCTCAAGTGCTGCTTTAAAGCTTCCCCTACGAGACTTGAAAGAATTATTAACCTTGACTTGAGCAACACCTCCATCTTACGATGCTCCACAAAAGTTGCCACTCTCATTTTCTATGTTACTAGTGTTTATGTTAGTTGAACTCATCCTTTGACCAGTGGTTCCTAAATTTGATGGCTTTATCATATCTTAATCTTGCTTGGTGTTATTTGCCATCGCTAGTTTTTATTTTTACTCTTCTTCTTACTCTTCTATTTGCTTTTCAAGAGCTTTTAATCTTTCTTCTCTTTCCTTCATCTCAGTCTATCTCTTCAATATTTCTTATTCCTTCTCCTTGATAGCATGGATGCGCTTTTGCATTTCAAGCTCTTTGAGTTTTAGTTTTTCTCTATACTATCTAAGTTTGTATTCCTTAACTCTGACTTATATTTAAGGATGGTTTTACAATTCATCCACTGATGGTCTTCTTTCTGGATCTTGTTGAATCATTGATGTTATGACTCTCCAGAGATCATCTGTATACATAGCAGGAATTCTGTCTAACTTGCCACTCTTGATTTTCATAGCCAATTGATAATGAGTTGTTGCCTCAAATGGTGCTCTCAGAGCAGCCACTTCATAAATAATGCAACCAGTACTCCAAATGTCACTTTTCTCATTGTACTTCTGATCATTTATTTATTCAGGACTCATGTAATAGGGAGTGCCTACATGTGTATAAGCAAAGACTGAATCCTAATTCATGACTCTTGAAAGTCCAAAATCTCCAAGTTTGACATTATTAGACTTATCCAAGAAGATGTTACCGGGCTTTAAATCTCTATGCAAAATTTTGCCTTCTTTTCTATTGTGACATGAAGAAAGAGCTTAAAGCATTTGTGATAGGACACTCCAAACAATTTCCTCAGGCAGGTGCTCCTTCTTTCTCTTGTAATTTTTAATTAGGGTTGCGATGTCACCACCCTCACAGTATTCCATAACGATGTAAATTTTAGCTTGGTCTCTATCTATGATTCTATCATAATATCTCACAATGTTAGGATGATTAAGTTCTCTAAGAATGTTAACCTCTGAGACTATCATTTGTTTCTCTTTCTCAGACATTTTGCCATAATTAAGCTCTTTCCAGACCAACACCTTGCCATCAGCTTTCCTTTTGATCTTTGAAACACAGCCAAATGAACCCTTTCCGATATCGGTAATTTTTTCATACTTGTCTAACCCACTCATTTCTGCAATTTAAATTCAAATTTAAATTTATTTATCATCTTATCATTACTGTTCTATTTAAACATACTCCAACACGAGGGGTTTTGGGGTTTTGGGGTTTTGGGGTTTTGGGG